TTGTGTGTGTGTGTGTGTGTGTGTGCGTGTGTGTGTGTGTGTGAGCGCCTAAGTGCTGGTGAGCGGTTGGCCAGGGACGCCTGGGTGCTGACTGCTGGGAAAGCAAGGAAGGCGTTTACGTGCTGAGGCTCTTTGCGATGGAATGTGTGTGTGTGTGTGTGTGCGCGCGCGCGTGTGTGTGTGTGAGCGCCTAAGTGCTGGTGAGCGGTTGGCCAGGGACGCCTGGGCGCTGACTGCTGGGAAAGCAAGGAAGGCGTTTGCGTGCTGAGGCTCTTTGCAAGGGAGAGCGTGTGTGTGCGCTGTGGGATGTGTGCGAGGGAGGGTGTGCGTATGGGTGTGAACTGAGGGCTGCATGCGCAGGGCGGGCGACTGCCCTGTGAACGTGAGCCTCCGCGAGGACCTTCTGACGCTGCCGCCCTTCCGAGAGACACCTGACGTGGGCGCATTCTGGCAGTGGCGCGGGTTGGCTGCTCTGCGCGCGGATGTGGACTGGCTGCAGTCGCTGCACGCGGACGGAAACGGTCTGAAGGCGAGTCACTCTCTCCTCTCCTCTCCTCTCACATTCTAAACTGGCATTAAATTACATTTAGGGGGTTATGCCACCCACACCTATCGTTGGCTATGTTGGACTCGTGATCTGTTAGGTCTTATTATTTTGTCATTTAGCCTAATGGAAATTGTTCGCATCAAATGAATGTATCTGCGTTGCTTCCATTTTTCTCAATAAATATTATTTATGTGTTCAAATCTTCGATTCTCCAGTTTGGGAAAATGTCATCACTTTTTTTCAAATAAAAAAGAGATGAATGTAAACAAAGCGATGTTTTGAAAATATGCGGATATGGCCTGTTATTTAAATACTTTGACAACTTTTTCTCGCGCATACTTTTCTACAGGAATCCATGGACTATCATCAATATCAATACATGGAATACTCAATTTAGTTACAAAATAGTATCCTTGGCGCAACTAAGACAATATCAGTTGGCGGTGAACTCTCGCAGTCCGAGGAAGCATTTTGCGATAGCCACAAGTATTTCCAAAAGCAAATCGAAAAGCTATATCAGCATTAGTTCTCAAAGTATCGAAAGAATATGGACGAAAAACCTCATTAAGATAAGGGTCGTTGATGTAAAAGATCATTATGATTGAATCGGTTATTTTTTAACACTGTCTCCCTTTTACATTTTCGCTTTTTGTGTGAAAATAGAAACTTCAATATAGATGTATTGTTCCATGTTGGAATACCGCAAACCAGATGAGTAGAATGGCCGTGAGAACATTGTAAATGTTTGATATGGTTTTGAAACGATGTAAATCATTAACTTGTGGGGTATGTATATATGACTGGGATGTCACTAACAGCGAGATTGGTTAAAAAGTATGTCCAATACGGAAACATTCTTACGTACTATCATTGAAACACA